TATCACCTAGACTGCATAGGCTCTAGGAATCTTTAGAAGGAGGAGAAAAAGCATTGCGGACAGTAGCAAGCTACCTATTACCTCAAGGTTATTCTAGCTGTAAAAGACATACCTGGTGAGTCTTTAAGGAATACTCTAATAACGAAGGATAGTTGCATTTCTGAAACTATTATAATGCAGTTTGGAACACAGCACTTGTGGTACGCCATGTGTTTTAACCTTCATGCTGCCCCATCAAACGATCCCCTTGTGCAAAAGTGCTCATTATTGAAGGTTGGATTGCAAGAACAATATTATGCGACAGCTGAGCCTGGGCCTATATACTTGAGCCTAATTAGACTGAGACCAAGCTCTCCAGGTCGCTCGGTCGGCGGGGCGGAAAAGAAAGGGGAGCTTGCAATTACACCCCTGGAATTTGAATTCCACCTCCAATTCCCCTGTGGCTCCCCGTTGCCTGAGCTGTCAGATTTACCGCAATCAGAGGGAAGTGGAAAAGAGTGCGAATGTAAACAACCATTGAAAAACACGTGCCAAGGGTAATGACGTTATTACTAATGTCTTCTCCGCCAATCACCATTTCGCATCGCCTTTTTCGATGCTGATATTCAAAATCCAGCGACGTAGTTGTAAGCTCTCCTTCCCTTTCCCGCCTTGCCGCCAGAGCGCCCCGGAGAACTTGCTCTCAGGCTAGAGCCTCATATGCACCCACAAGCTATTTATCGACTGAAGGAAGATCATCCTATATAATAATGATAATAGTAATAATAATAATAATAATAATAATAATAGTGATAATAAAACTTTAAGTTTAGATTTTTAGAGGTGTGAAGAATAACAGCTCTGGTAACATGATTTAACAATGTTATTCGCATGACTTTTTCAGCATTAAGTTACCTCCTGCAGTTACCTTATAAACTACTTATTCTAATATCAACTCACAATACACGGAGCTTTTTTAGATCTGAAAAAACTTGTGATGGAATGTGGTCGATTTCATTCGATCCTAGATCCCTAGAGGGAAGAAAAGAAACCAAATATTCAGTGAGTCTCTTTTCCGGGTTTGTAGTAACAGAGAAATAGATTTATTTACCGATGTGTTAGCTTGTGTGCAGAAAACCTTAATTCTTAGCTAGAACTGCAGGAAACATTGAATTGGTCTGAAAGAAAAATAATGGCCCTCAACACCTTACAATACACGCAACTGTTGCGTTGTAAGCTATTTATTCCACATATCGCTGCGTTCGCTGTACTATAGTATGATTTTTTCAGGAAAAGTGAGTGATATATTTAATCTTGGAGTTGGTAGTCAGGTACCCAGTCCAGAGCTTTTCCACCTTTCAAATGTTTTGATCCGTGAACCAAAGCAAGCAATTACCCAATCACGGATCAATTTTTGTGTCACATGACGCGAGGCCTGTTTTCATGACAGTCAATTCGAAAAAAAAGGAGTAGTCAAGCATAGGAGGTGAAAAAAAAATCAGATATGAAAGAAAGTTATAAACCTTTTCGTTACTCAATGTGGAGAACCGTTTGCAACAAAAGAGAAACGTCTCGTTAATTTCTGTTTGCATGGGCTAAATAGCGATAGAGTGGGCCGATAAGTTATTTCACACTGACCTCGGTAGCCAGGAAGGATATTATGCTTCAGTTTGGGAAAGCAACCTTTGTGAAGGCAAAAGTCTAATCATATTTTTTACTGGTAGGGATAAACTTTTTTTGAAAGAGGAGTATAATTTTGATATCTTTTAGCGAGGATTTCAGCCAAGTGAAGATTTACTGAAATCATTCCCATTCACTAAGAAAAGGTTTGAAGAAGAGGGACATAAAATCCTATTTTCTCCCGGAACTTTTCCAGTAGAATGACGCAAGAAGTAATGTTGCTTTTCGACTTTCCATCTCGAATATAATTTTTTTTGGTAAATGTGCCATCATCTGCGATAATATTCCCTACAGAAATACCCTTCCTAGCTACTCTTACAGAGGTAAATACTGTGAGGAATATTCCAAATCATTGGAGGCTGAGGAAGCCAATTTAATACTTACAGTCGTAAGAGTGACCGCAAATTCATGAATGTCTCATTGTGAAGCTCTTTAATCACGTTGCCAGAAAAATCTCTGATGAGTTTAAAAAGGTTCATTATTAAGGGACCTCAACAAAATAGCAAAAAATGCTATATAACTAAGAGTTCGAAAAACGTGCTTACGGCCACTGCAAGCAATAGATTTAGCGCAAGTAAAGGTATATTGTAGACCCTAATCGAGACAATGATTGCTAAATCAGACGATAAGTTTGTGACCCACAATATGAAACGGGGCAATACAGATCATGTTAGTACACGATTCTCTCGCCGCATATCTACATTACATTATTTTACATGTAAATACAGGAAAAATGTTCTGGGGTGTGTGTATCAGTATGTCACGAATGTGTGTGATGTATATATGTGTCTAGTTTTTAATTGTTTTGTATGTTTTGGTATTTACTATGCAAAAAGTGGAATACATGAAATTATTTAAGAATCAAATTCAAGTTTATCAAAATACAAAGAAGAGACCTGTTTTGCTAATCTTAAGTGGATTGCTTTCTCAGTTGAGTGATGGTGGGATTGCGAGCAGATATAATAAATCGGAGGATGCTTTAATACTTACAGTTGCTGCAAAGTACTTAGATTTTTGAAAATGTCTTTTGGTAAATGCTGCAGTCTATTAGACTCTAAATTCCTTTTAAAAACAACAAACCAAAAGATGCAATATAAAAATCACTAAAGGGAGATTAAAAACAATTACCTAGAAAAAAGATGAACCTCGGTCCTTACTGATAGGCAAATGAATGAAATTGGATTCACAGAATAACATGAGGTTCCCAAACATGTAATTAAAAGAGCGCATGAAATAAACTATGAAAAAAAAGCTTATTAATAAGTGTGTATAAGATATTTTGCGATAACTGATAATCTATATGTTCCTTCTCCCTTTAAACAAGTGAGGATGAAGTGCTCTAGCGCTGAAACATGGATCTATCACTCGCTGGAGTAAAGTATTGATCTACTTACAGGATTTGTAGGTTGGATAGTGTTTCAAACGTCCCCACAGGTAGGTCTTCAATTTTATTCAATTCAAGTTTTCTGTAAAATGAAAACAGTTTTAATGCGTAGTTATGTGGATGAGCATGTGCAAGTAATTGGGAAACGTTTTTGGGAAAGATAAAAAAAAAAGATTTTAGAGTTGCATTTTACAAAGTTCCCTTTTCTAAATACGGTCGACTCTCTTCCCAAATACACATTAATTGCCTATTAGCCAAAAAGGCCTTTTTTAGGGTTTGCACGCGAAGAAATATTAAAAAATAATATATATTCAATTCGTTTTATTTACTCGATTTATGTAATCAAAGTTTAAAATGATCGCTTTTAGGGGTCAAAAAGAGGTTGGGACACCCCCAGATTGGTCTCCTTCAGGGGTTTTTCAAAATGTCCGCCCCTTTCATATGGGAGTACCTCAGGGGTTCTAAACGAGCCGGGGACTGGTACAACCTATGACTGCATAGGCTCTAGGCATCGTTAGAAGGTGGAGAAAAAGTATTTCGGACAGGAGCAAGCCAGCTGGAGTTTGAATTCCACCTCCAATTCCCCTGTGGCTCCCCGTCGACTGAGCTGTCAGATTGCCCCCATGCAATCAGCTCGAAGCGGAAAAGAGTGCGAACGTAAAAAAACACTGAAAAACACGTGCCAAGGGTAATGACGTCATTACTAATGTTATCTCTGCCAATCAGCATTTCTCATCGACCATGCAGATATTCAAATTCCAGCGTCGTAGTTGCAAGCTCTCCTTCCCTTTCCTGCCCCTCCGCCAGAGCGCCCCGGAGAACTCGCTCGCAGGCTAGAACCTCATATGCTCCCACAAGCTATTTATCGACTGAAGGAAGATCATTCTATATAATAATAATAACAATAATAATAATAATAATAATAATAATAATAATAATAATAATAATAATAATAATACTTTTCGAAAGAGGTTGAGCAAAATATAAAAGAGCTTGTAGGAGACAAGTTTGAATCAATTATGCGCCAAATGCAAAAGGCAATCCTCTCTAGTTCATTACACATTGCTAGAATGTTCAAGCTGAGCGGTTAGATGTCTTTAGGAAGTTTGGACACCTATTTTAACAGATACTTAATCTTTTACATTATCGAAATTTTATTGACATACCTTAGATGTTCTCATTATTTAATGGACAGCTATATGAACGATGATATTTAACCTATGAACATTTTGATTTTATAATTAAGACGTCCATAAAGCTTGTAGGATTTTTTATTGTTTAATTTTTTTTTATGATAGTCTTATCAAATCATTTTTACTCATTTTTTTTTCTTTTTTTTTTGTGCAAATTATTGTTTAATTTTTACTACAAATTTTGCCGCCCAGCCAAAGCTTTTATTTTTTACTTTGGACATCCAGACGTTTGTACTGCCATAATAATAACAACAAAACTTTAAGTTTAGATTTTTAGAGGTGTGAAGAATACCAGTTCTGGCAACATGATTTAAGAATGTTGCTCATATGACAGTTACCTCCAGCAGTTACGTTATAAACTACTTATTCTCATATCAACTCACAATACACGGAGCTCTTTTAGATCTGAAAATACGTCTGAGGGAATGTGGTCGATTTCATTCGATCCTAGATCCCTAGAGGGAAGAAAAGAAACCAAATATTCAGTGAGTCTCTTTTTCGGGTTTGTAGTGACAGAGAAAGAGATTTATTTACTGATGTGTTAGCTTGTGTTCAGAAAACCTTATTTCTTAGCTAGAACTACAGGGAGCATGGAATTGGTCTGAAAGAAACTAATGGCCCTCAACACCCTACAATACACGCAACTGTTGCGTTGTTAGCTATTTATTCACATATCACTGTATTCGCTGTACTTTAGTATAATTTTTTTTTTCAGGAAAAGTGAGTGATATATTTAATCTTGGAGTTCGTAGTCAAGTACCCAATCCAGAGCTTTTCCACCTTTGAAATGTTTTTATCCACGAACCAAACAACCAAATACCCAATCACGCGAGGCTCGTTTTCATGACAGTCAATACAAAAAAGATGATGATGATGATGAAACTTTATTAAGGTGTCTAAAAAAGCCTCCTAGCTTAGGTTAAAAAACCTATGCTAATTAGGGGACACGAAATAAATAAATATAAATATAAATTAAAGTATTTACATATAAGCGCAGGTATAAAAAAATTAAAAAAAAAATTAATGGCATCAACAATATTTACAGTATGACAAATATGTCTATGAATTACAGAGATGACAACACTTGCATCCATTATCCATTAGTGTAACTATATCTAATGTACGTATTTTGTGTTTGAAACATTTTAAGGTGGTAACTTCTCTCAAGTCTGGAGATAATTTTCCCCAGAGATTGGGCCCCAAGTAGCGGAGGGAGTGTTGCCATATGTTACCGAGTTGTACCTGGCAGCGGAGAAATCAGACTGCCTTAAGTTATACTTAGATCTATGCTCAATAAAAATATCACTGATATAGGGGGGACATAGATTGTTCTTGGCTTTATACATTAAAACACAAATGTCTTGTAGTCTTCTGTTCTGTAAACTTGGCAGTTCTGCTCTTTTTAGAAGTTCAGGGTAGCTAACATTGTTCCTAAAAACAGCACGCGGGCCCCTTTCTTGCATCCTGTCGATTTTACGAGAATCACTGGCTCGGCAAAAGTGCCACACAAGGTGGCAATATTTAAGGTGCGGCAACATTGCTGTTTTGAAAAGCATAAGTTTAGCATTCGTCGGAATCAAGTTTCTAAGTCTCATAAGGACGCCAATTTTCTGACCGGCAATTTTACAGATCATGTTTTCGTGGCCTGAAAAGTTCAGCTTAAAATCTATTGTGACACCCAACAATTTGAGAGAGTCAGTTATACCAATATCATGATTGTTTAATCTGATCACTTGAGTGATGTTATTATCGCTTTGGCCATGTCCGATGTTCATAGTTTGATATTTCTTCAAATTCCCGGCTAAAAGATTTGAGTAGTACCAATTAGTGGCTTGCTGTGCACTTTCCTTTAGCATTAACATAACAGAAGACTGATCCCGTCCTGTGTGATAGATCTGATGATCGTCCGCGTACATAGACAAGTTAGTTGTTACACAGTACGACAAATCGTTCTGGAATATGTTCCAAAGTAAGGGACCTAGAGCGGATCCCTGTGGACAGCCTCGGTTAACAGTCCTACTTGAACTGACAAGGTCCCCAATCTTCACCCGGTAATTGCGATCACACAGATAACTCTCCAGAAGCCGAACTGTACTGCTCTCAAAGCCATAGGCGTTGAGCTTACTCAATAGTAGTGGTGGATGGAGTAAATCAAACGCTTTTGACATGTCAGTTGACAGCAAGCTCACAACCAGTTTGTCATCTCTTGCATGTCTCCAACCCTCCACTAGGTGAATCAGAGTTGTCTCACAACTATGTCCTCTGAGGTAAGCCGATGAGTTAACATACATACGATCTTCAAAGCCGGTAGAGACCTGTGCGCCTATTAGTTGTTCGAAAACTTTGTCAACACACGGTAAGACAGTTATAGGGCGGTATTTTTCCTTGGAGTGCTTATCATCCTTTTTGTAAACTGGAGTCCAGACTCCACACTTCCAATCTCTTGGCCAGACACAGTTACGTATTCATGAATTGAAAAGAGTAGTAATTGGTTTGGCCAATTCATCGGCTGCAATTTTCAAGACTTTGGCCGGGATATTGTCATAGCCAGTGGCCTTGTTAGTGTTCAGAGATTCTAAAGCAGCTAGGACTTGACCTTGCGTGATAGGTTTTACTTCAAGATTGCGTGACCCGCTTACACTTTGCTGTTGTATTCTAAGAACACTTGGATGGTCCTTAAAATCTTTCAGTGATTTAAGCTTGGCTACGTCACCACCTATCCCATCAGCTATAGTGGAAAAGTAATCCACAAGTATTTCAGACACCTGCCTTTGATCTTTAACCATGGTACCCTCTACTTTCAGCTGGATGACAGTGCTCGTTGAGCAATCCCTTGTGCTCAGGAACGGCTTAAATGTTTTGAAAAAGTATCTTGGGCTGCTCTTGAGGTCATCAGCTTTGATTTTCCAATAGTTCTTTATTGCAATCCGCCTCTGTTTCGTTGCCTCGTTTCTTGTCTTGCGCCTAAGCTCCCAGGTTTCTTGAGTTTTGTTTTTCAAGTACTTTGCATTAGCCTTTCGTTTGGCTCGAATTGCACTCTTCCATTCAGGTGTCATATATGGCACATCTTTGTCACATACTCTCATTTTCTTTACAGGTGCTAGATCATTCAATACATCATTCATAATTAGATTCCAGGCGTGTACTTGATCGTCAACTTCATCGAATAATTGGATAATGTGCCAAGGAGCCATGTCAAGGTGACGCTTGAATAGTTCTGAATCAAAGTTTTTGAAACTTCTAAAATTAATTATCTTGGGTTTG